AAGTAATACCAAATAGTTCCTGTGATTAATTACTTAAATATTAAGTAATACCAAATAGTTCCTGTGATTAATCGCTCTGTACCACGTTGCCCAGGGATCCTGACATTCCAAGGCATCAGTGTTTATGCCTCTCCCTGAGGTCACTCCCCTTTTCTTAAAATATGAAGGAATTCTTGCAGTTCTTTTCTACCTGATAAAAATCTTCTTTTGACCCTGGATCCACCCAAATCCTTTCTTTCTCTCTCTCTCCTTCCTCTTCCCCCTTCTTCCTTCCGTCCTCTCTCTTCTTTTTAGTCCTTGAAATCTGCTCCATGAGAGCAGGTTTGTATCTTCACCCCTTTATTAAAAGTCCTGTAACTTCAATGGGCTTATATCAACGAAAAATCCGTCGATGCAAAAGGAATGTCATTCCTCTATTCTTCCTTCTGTTGGGCTTGATGAGGCAGGTTCCTGGTTCCTCAAAACGCTGTCCTCCTTGGACTCTCCTGCAGTCGAACTAACTCTGTCTCGTCTGTTTTCAGAGGATTCTTCTAGGGCTGTTTGCCTTCATGTTTCCCATCTCATTGGGGCCTTTGGCCCGGTGCTGAAACCCTCCCAGGACCACAGCCCTAACCCTGTCATTCCACAGTTCTGCCTTCTTTCCTGTCTCCTGCCATGACTAATTCTAAATACAGTTTTCATCAGTAAGAGTCAAATGCTGTATTTCTGTAACTTTCTACTAAGTTAGTGAGGTAAACAGTGTTAGACAAACAGCTTAAGGGTGAGAGTGTTTGCTGTGTTTATGCCAATTAACTGGAAGGTGCCGTCTTCAGAATCTGGACGTGGCCTCAAATAATGGGGGAGAAAATACACATTCACAATTAAGCATCACAGATGTAGAAGTAAGGCACTGAGAGCGCACAGAAAAGGCAGACTTTCATTAGATGCAGTGCTTACCAAATTCCAGGCACTTGCGCCCCATAGTCATGGTTTTTACCATACCAGATTCTCCTAGCAATGTGTAAAAATAGAATACTTTACTCAGCATTTATTACATTCAAAGTTTTTTCAAATACCCATCTTTTTTTCTAGAAGCATCCCTGTAAGATAAATATTGTTGGTTTTATCCCCACCAATTATAAATTGAAGCCCCGCCAATTACAAATTGAGTGACAAAAGTGCCCAAGTTCCGTGGCTAATTAGTGGATAAATTAGGATAAAAATTTCCTGAAATACTTATATTTTAACTACTTCTACAGACCAAAATTGCCTCCAGGTATATGGTTTGTCCCATATTTAAGTATCATCATTATTCTCCTTTACTTGGTATTTTAAAACACAATTTACATTTTTACTAAAATATATTTTAAATGAAACTTTAAATCTCTACCTTAAATAGAAAGTCAGTATTTCTTATTTTAAAAACAATGATTACCAAAGGCTCGAAGTCTAGGTCCTGCCCTCTCTTTATTAAAAAGGGGAACTCTCTGAAATATCATTGATACTCTTTAAGTATCGACTTTTTTTTGACTTGAGTACCATTTTACCTCTCAGTTTATTTAAACCTGGATGCCTGTATTATGTAAAGGGAGATCTGTTAAGGTAATTGCTGTGAAATGAATATAACCAGTAACACTAAATTAGGATTTCTTTTTGACTTAATCAAAAGAATTGAAAGAATATTGAGAAGAGCATAACTTTATCACTGTAACATTCAACTTTATTTAATGCCATGTCCTTGAACCACTGAAAATGGAAAGGTGGTATAACATAGAGCCTCTGGAGCCAGAGGGCCTCAGTGCAGAACCCCTCTTGACTGTTTACTAGTTAGGTTACCTTGAGCAAATTATTTAAACCTCTCTGTGTAAAAATGAAGATGATGATAATAACACACATCATAGGATTGTTTGGAAGGTTAAACTACTAAGTACTTATAAAGCATTGTAAATAGTGCATGGCACATATTAAATAGTGTAGAAGTATTTGTGAAATATATAAAATAAAAATACCGCGGACTTCCCTGGTGGCGCAGTGGTTCAGACTCTGCGCTTCCAGTGCGGGGGGCCCAGGTTCGATCCCTGCTCAGGGAAGTAGATCCCACATGCATGCCGCAATTAAGAGTTTGCATGCCACAACTAAGGAGCCCGCCTGCCGCAACTAAGACCCGGCACAACCAAAGAAATAAATAAATATTAAAAAATAAAAAGAAGCATTATCATAACTCATTTGTCGAACATTTAAAAAAGAATACTTTGCATTTCACTAGCATATATCCCACGCTTTGGAAAACACTAAGCTGGGCAGATAGTGGACATTTTTCATGCAGGAAATATATTTAAGCTGAGAATAGTTTTGCATTTCCACTGGGAAATAAAGGACGTGCCACAGAGTAATAAAAACGAGCATGATCAAATAGTTGGAGGTAAGAAGAGGCTGAGGGTGAGTAGATGAAATTAATTTGTAGTTTCTTTCGGTTAAGGGATAAAATGCATGAGCGCTAAGAGCAGGAAATGAAGTTGGGGAGGACAGAGACGCGATTAAGAGCTGTGCTTGAGTGGGGTGTCTTGATCATCACATGGGGGTGATTAGGAGGAGACCAAAGCGGGGAAGTAACTGGCACTGAAAAGACCACTAAGGTCCAGGCTGGAGCGGGTGAGGGGCTGGCGGAAAGCAACTGCAATGACACGGGACAAGAGAGTGTGGACGGCCAGAGGGCTAATGACGTTTGCTCAACAAGGCCAGGTCTATTCGAGTCATCAAGAAAAAGAAAGAGGAGGAAGAGGGCAAAGGAAGAGAAGACGGAACCAGTCAGATCCTGGCAGGAGGAACTCCGTTTTGCAGGCGTTGTGGCTGAAGCACTAGAGGGACGGCGGCGGGGAGACAGCCGACACTGGAGCCCAGGGACACGGCTTCGGGAGTTATGCGCACATAAGTTACACTTGGAACCATGAGACGGGAAATCATTAGTAATTTTCAGAGGGAGAGTTTCAGTAAACTCTGGAGAGCATCACCCCATCCTAAGGCTAAGAAGTGACTGGTAAGGAAGGAAAGGGCAACTAGACAGAGGCTTCATCAGGTTAAGTCTCGACAGGACACAAGTGATGAGTAGCAGCTGTCACGGCGCTCAGCCAGCTTGATGGGGGACAGCGGCTTTCTGGAAGAGCCAATTCCCGAAGCGTGTCCGAGGCTTCATCCTCAAAACTGGCTGAACCACGTTAGAACTGAAGGCCCACCGGTCAAGCCCAAACCTTCTGAATTTGAATCTTGGCAGTGGGACCCAGCAATTAGTACTGAACGTATTCTCTAAGTTATTCTATGTAGACAATAAACGTGGAGGTTCTAGAAAAAGAAGTCTTACAGAAACGGCAAGAGATATTTATTGTGCTATCATTATACAGTTTGGGTAGATCTCGTACCTTGTAGAGGAGGTAGTGAGTGACTATTCTGACAGGTCATCTTAACAAACTAAAGAAGAATTTAACTCCATGCCATAGTGCCTTCTGAACTCCTCAGGCATTATTCCGGTTCCACTGGTTATATAGGTCAGGCCTTTATTTCTTGTTGAGATGTGGGCTTTGTGTGTCTGCCACATCATGACTACTGTGCACGAAGTACGTGGCTTCATATTATCCACCCTCATTTCCTCACCTCTTGTCAAACAGTTGAAAATAGAATGACCTCAAATCAGTCAGGTTGAAACAGAATCTAATTCTTTTTTAAGGCCTCTAAGTTTCTAGGTTGAAACTAATTCCGTCCCTGACTTTAAACCCATCTCATTTACCCTAATTTTTCTTTGTTTTTCGACTGTCTAGGAGAAAGACCTATATTTTTGTATCATAAATGACAGCTCTGACTCCTTCCCGTTAAAAATAACAAAATGAGATTTACATTTCAAGATTTAATAAACAATCTTACATGTTTAATTTAGAAACATGTCTTTCAAAAAGTAAGTACAGTTAAGACTACACTTACTTTTAGTTGCACCATACCAATTCCAATTACGTATTTTGTACAGTTAACACGTTTTTGAAAAATAAAGCAAGCTTCTGAACAGTTAGTTCACTACAAAACATTTAGTTTATTGTGACAAGAGGATATTGAATAAAGGATTTATGCTAATTGACCTACCTTCCAATTTATAACATAAACTCAAATTTAAGTAAAAGAAACAGTAATTTACAATAGCCTTAGAAACTTCAAATTTAAATTAAAATAAGAAATATTAGTTGATCGTATTTGAAATTATTCTGAGTAGAGCTTATCCCGGCATTTTACTAACACATTTCCACCCAGGCATGAATTTCCACTCAAATGTTTCACTGTGAAACTTTAGTGTGACTATCTGGACTTCTTCATAGTTCTAACTAAAGTTTCAATGCTTTACCATATGTGTTTCAGAAAACTTGTATCAGATTTTCAGTTGCAAACCTGAGGATGTCTCTACTGTGAAACACACTTACATCTCTTCTAGGAACGAGATCAAGCAGCTGCCTACCTCAGTTCCTTCCCTCCTTCTCTCCTGGAATCAGGAGGAAGGGGGTCTAATGCCCCTCCTCTTGAACTTGACTGTCCTGAATGATTTTTGTGACCATGAGAATACAGCTGAAGTGATGTATGGGGACCTAAGATGTTCTAGGTTATAAGAGGCCTTGCAGCGTCTGCCGGATTTTTTCTTGGAACACTTTTCTAGGGCTGTTCCCTCTTGGAACCCAGCCACCATGTTGTGAAAAGTCCAAGCCACTTGGAGGCAACCCCACCTGAAGTCCCAGCCGACAGCCAGCATGCTGTCAGCTACAGGTGGGAGCTACGTTAGACGACCAGCCCAATCAAGTCTTCAGATGCCTGAACCCCCAGCAGGTACACAACTGCAAGGCAGGAGACCTCCAATGAGAACCGCTCAGCAGTCAGTCCACAGAGCCATGAGAGATAGTAACAAACTGTTGTTTGAATTAACTAGTTATGGAGACAGTTATTATGCAGTGAAGATAACCAGAATATTCATCTTTCTCTGCTCAGGTGCAGACTATCAGACGTTTATAATTTTCTAGGGAATGGAACGTACTAGAGGCCAACTGACCCTTAAAAAGTTTTGCCCAGTAGTCCAGCATCTTTAACATGTTCTTGACTTGTTTAATGGAAAGAGCTCGAGCTTATCTTTTTCCATGTTTTTTCCTCTAAGTCTTACTGAATCAAGATCTGAGCTACATAAATGCACAGAATCATGCCCAACCTCTCATCAAACAAAAGAGGAAACGGGATCCCCAGGATTTGCATAATCACCCAAAGACCATCATTTGCTTCTCCTACTTCGTATCTTGGCTCTCTGTACCTTGTTGACAACTGCCTCTAGGGGTCATATTTTCCTGAAAAAACGAAGTGTGAGTTCCAGACAATACCATGTCTCATTATTCTTGGCCTAAGTTTGCAAATAATTTTACAGATCCTTAACTAAGTCCATTTTTACTGAAATTGAATGACAGCAAAATATTTCTGTCTGATGTTCTCCTCTTGTCAAAATTTCCGGACCCCTAGATCTAACACGGAATGTTAAAGATGTCACATTTCACTGTTCTAATTTTAGGGCTTTGATACACATTATGTAGTTGATGTTTCTCTTCCAGCAAACAGTGCTTATCCTCCTTCCCCTTCCCTCAACCCACCTCCCTATACTCCTGCCTCCGAACAGATAATTCATATATTATGTGGATTTACCTCTCACCAAAACAAAGATTGGTGACCTTCTAACTTTTCTTTTCCTTCTTGCTCTTGCCCTCTGATTAATTTCTCACTGTATGTTTCCAATCTACTAACATGCGTCTTTAGATGTCTAGCCATCATCTTTGAACTAACACTTCAAAAATGAAATTAATCTTCTGTCCAAAGCATCCAGAAAAGAAACCATCTGTTTTATCCTTTAAATAATCTATCAAGGGACCTACTATATCCCCAATCCTCAAGGTTTCAAATCTCCAGAAAATACCTCTTATTCATTCTCTTCTTTATTAATTTCCTAATTTTATAGACTTTTCATTAGAAATGTCATTCATCTATCTTTTTTCCCCTCCATTTCCACTATCGCCACTCTTCCACTAGGACTGAACTAGACATGTACCATATCATTTCAGGATTACTGTGACAACTGGTTCTGTCCTCTCCAATTTATCCTGTGTCTTAAACAACATTGCTCAATTTATCTTCCTTAAACACTAAGTTCATTACAATTCTTCTTTCCTCAAGAACATTCCATGATTCTCTATTTCCTCTTACATAAATTCTAAATTCCTCTGGTTGCTTTTGAAGGCTCTCCAAAATCAAGTCCCATCCAGGTCCATGTCTTACTGCTCCGCTCCCCCAAATTCCTTCCTGCTTTGGGTTAGGGGCCCATTATTCTATCTAGAACACCTCTTCCCGAATCCTTCACATCCATCCAAATACCACCAGGTTCAATACCACTCCCTCCATGAAACTTTCCATGATAATATCTAAATAATGAACTAAATAATGTCCAAAATCACCTTTTAGATAAAACAAAGAACTACGTAAGTGACGTGGTTAGAGGAGAAATATAAAATATCCCCCCACCCATCTCACACTGGAGCCTGGAATTACATAATTAGAGACCATGTGGGTTAAAGTTAACCTTGCAGCTAAAATATAAATATTCTTAGCAAGGAGTCAGTCCTGCATTTTTTCAGTATGAAATGCTTCATCATATCCTTTCTCGAGAGCAAAATTTAGGTGCAGAGGGAAAGCCTGTTGCATACCTCGATTAGCTGAAGGCATCACTGAGGAAAGAAAATACATGAAAGGAAGGAAGCAAGGGATCCCAAAATCTCAATTTGCCTACTTCGCAAATAACTTCTTTTTTTTGAGGATTAGCCTTGTGCATTATAAATAACTATCAATTATTCAGAATATTTGATTAACCAATTACTCTCATTCTTCCACGATGCTAGAGCATGGATTTCTTCTTCTGAGTCAAGCAAGAATTGATTGCTATATTCACTCCCATAGCACCATCTTCCTTTTTTCAAATGATAAATTTCAGTTGTCATGACACCAGAAAAAGATGGATTCAGCTTGCTGGCATAGTCAGGCATTCTGCTACACTGCTTTCCCCTTTATCCTAGCAATTTGGACTCCAATGCTAAACCCTCACCCCCCTACTACCTCTAAATAAAAGAAGTTCTAAGTAATGTGTTTTTCACAAGTAAATGAAAAGAAGAGAGAGATGACCTTAAGTGACCAAGTGTTTTCTCTCTAGTTTCTGGACAGATTTCCTTCCTTCTTTCTCTCATCGGCCCCCCTCAGCTCCTTCCTTGGCTTTCCTATTTGTGGACCGCGTGTCTGGGTCACTGTCCTGAGTGCTGGCCTCATGCTCTCACCCTAGAGCCACCCACTTGTTCCTTTCTCTACTTCCCTGACCTCTGGGTTCTCACCTGCTTCCTCTACCCACTCTCTCCTACTAGCCATCTGACCCCTACACGAGTTTTTAGTGACCTTGATTACAGTAGGAAAAGGTAGTCCACTCCTGGCAGAAAAAGGAAGAGACAAATTTTAGGTATCTGTCCGTTTACAGGTAAGACAGAGAAGTCTTCAAGCTCAGGATTAGCAGAAGAGCTCGGGTGCTGACTCCACCCCCTGTCCCGGAGAACACTCTCCTGTAACCTGGGATCGTGTGTAATTTACCCGAGGACATTGAGGTAAAAGCCAAGACCAACTGTTTTCATTATAGTTTGGAAATGCAACCTAGAGAAATAATTAACTGCAAAATTATGTGTACTTTACCCCTTGATAGATAGTCCACTCAAGCTTACGGTTACAAGGCAAAAATGTCATTCTTTCTAGAGATTTTATGTTGGATCCAAATAGCATCTTAAAAGTTTTTAGTAAAATGAATGGGTTATGTAAGTCAATTACTTTGGTTTTCCATTTATGAGAGCTTTTTCCCTCTATGTGCTAGTCTAACAAGAGTTTATATGCCCCTGTATTTAGAAAGAAAGGCAAGAAAGAAGGGAGAGAGGGAGGGAGGGAGAGGGAGGGAGGGAGGAAGGAAGGAAGGAAGGAAGGAAGAGCCTGAAACTCATTCTGCCATACTTGGGAAAATGTTTTATCTTTCCTTTTTAACTTGAAAATATTCCTTCCGTTTCAGAAAACTTTTAAAGACAGCTCTTCCTGCAGATTATCTGCAACACTATTTTATTCAAAGGCCCTAAAAATGGGTCTTTCTAAAACTTCTCCAGAATCACGCAAGAGACTATACATGTCTTGACCACAATTAACATTCACAGGCAAAAATGTCCTCGGCTCTCTCTTTTTTCCTTTCTTCCAAGTTGGCCAGCGTCTATGAACTGCACCGATTAGCAGTCAAAGCGTCCCCTAACCCTCGAGCCTGTGGGAACTTAGGAATTTCCACCCGAGCACGTCAATCCCAAAGGCCTCCTGTACCCTGGAAGAAATCCCTGACAACAAAGGACAAGCGAGAGGCCGGGGGAGGGGCGTAACGCGCTGGGACGCGAAGAAACGAGAACGCTGGCGTCGACTAGCCAGCCGGGCTGCCGGTGGGTCGCTGATCCGTAACCGTGAGCGGCGGCACGGCCGGGCTCTCTCCGGCCTCCGGGACGGGCCGCGCCGCCTCTGCAGGGCGCGTGACGCCTGCTCTCCGGACCCCGCGCCCTGCTCGGCTCCCAAGCCTTCTCGTGGGACGCCGCCTCCTCGGGCTCCGCTCGGTCCGACGGGTTCACACCCGGTCCCCCTCCGCCCACCCACATTCCCCGGGCCATTGCAGCCGCAGCAGCTCAGCTCTGAAGCGGGCGGACCCCGTCTAGAAACTTGAGCGGAGCGGCGCGCGCCCCAGCGCCCGGGGACCCGGGCCGGGACGGACAGCCCGCGTCCCTCGCCACCGGCCCAGCTCTGCTGGAGGCAGGTTGGCCTTCAGCCTCCACGTCAAGCCTTTTGTGCCGCGGTGGCGGCCCGCTGAGGCGCGGGCTGGAAAGGGTCCCCAACTCGCCTCGTCCCAGCGCCTTCCCGTACGCAAACCTGGGCGAATGGAAAGTGCACGACGTCGCCACTCCTCGAGCCCCGTCTCAACTTGCTCGCCGAACCGCACACTGAAACGTGGCACACGTGGGGACAGCCACCCCGCCCCCCGACTCTCCTTATCCGACCCCGGGCCGCTCACGCGCGGCGACCCCCGGGCCGCGCGCCCCCCCCCCGGCGCCCGGGAAAAGTCCACAGACGGACGGGGGAGGCGAGGAGGGACGCAGTCCGGGGCCGACCGACACCCACTTTCTTCCCGCCACACCCGCCTCCGAAGCCGAGCCTCACTCACCCATGGCGCCGCGTCCGCCTTCGCTGCGGCCCCTCCGGAGCGCAAGCGGCCGGCGCAGCCCGGGGCCAAGGGCTCCGCGCGCCTCCCCTGCTCCGCGCGCCGCGGCGAGTGACGGCCTCGCCCCTCCCAGCCTCGCCGGCTCCCGGGGCTCCCGGCTCCGCGGCTGCCGCGCAGACCCCTCCCTCTTCCCACCTGCGCCGCGGGTGACTGGCTGTGGCCTCGCGGTTCCCGCCGCGCCCCCCTCCAAGGGCCCCCTCCCCTCCCCTCCCCTCTCTGCTCAGGCCCGGGCGAGCCACGTGCAAACGCCCTTCCCCGCCCCCCATACGTTAAACACACATTACACACCCGCACCGTCTCAGCGCCCCACGGACAACCGAGTAGCCAAAATAATCATCCCCAATGTGGAGACCAGGAAAGATTCTTCCTGAAGAGTTTGATGGGATGATTTCTACATTCCCTAAAATCTTCTCTTGTTTTCAGTATTCCAGTTTTTCCCTTAATAACAACATAAAGGCAATAGGAAGAGAAAATTCTCCCTTGAATTTATGTCTCTCTTCTTTCTTCTCTGTTGAATAAATTTGTTTCTGTAACCTGGTAAAGCTATAAAGTCCTAAAAGACACACACACACACACACACACACACACACACACACACACACATCATCATCATCATCATCATCATCATCATCATCATCATATGCAGAAGTCACCTGGAAAATAAATGACTCAGTGCAAGAAGCAGTAGGTAGTGCTGAAAAAGCGCTGGGCTTGCCAGGTGGGAGGAATCTGTGATTCTGGCTCTACTACTAACATACCGGGACTCAGTTTCTTAATTTGTAACATGAAAGATCTGGAAAAAGTGATCTCTAAGGTCCCTTCAAGCTAAAAAAAAAAAAAAATTATATTATATAATTCCTTGGGCTATTGGCCTAGTTCTTTCAGGATTCATAGTGGAGAAGTTATTTCAGTACGTCAGTCCCCAAAGTATCGCAAGCTCCTTTTTCGTACAGGACACACCCTAAAGTATACAGATCTATGCCATGACCAAGCAGAAGAATGAAGTGAAGTGCATGGTTATCAACCTTGAGGAACACTGCTAAATAATGGAGAAGACACGGTACGAAAAATAATTCAGAGCACGTTTGGCAGAAAAACATGAAGAAATGCTGAGCATATCATTAAAATGGCACAGAAACGTTTGCACAGCTATTTCTCACGTAATGGAGGAGGCACACTCCTGGAAGGATGCTGTGAATGCCTTTCAGTTAAACGGAAATAGAAAGTTGTTCTTGTGGGTGGGGAAAGGAAGTAGTCGATAAAAGTTAAAAGGGTTCAACGTACCATTGAGAAAGGCATCACCGTTCTGGAAACTGACGAACGTGAGCCGTGATTGCAGCAAAGCATAATACTTACACCTGGGTCCAAGAAAGATAAATGATGAATGTTTGGAGATTAATTCATAAGCACAGGTTTTGGATCACCACAGACAACTTACTTCTTATTTCCTGAGGCTCTATTTCAAGATATTATAATTCTAAAATTAGAACTATTCTTTTTCCAGTGGAATTATACCATGATTCTGAAATACGAAGTAATAATTATAAATTAAGTGTGGTTTATTGTGTCAGGCACTGTTCTAAAGGCTTTATGTTAACGCATATAGTTTTCACAACAAACTTATAAGGGAGATACAGTTATTCCCACTCTACTGATAAGGAAACTGAGCCACAAAGAAATAAATCACTTACCCAAATTCATATAGATAATAAACAGAAACGTGAGATTCAAACCCAAGCAGAAATGCTCCAGAGTCCGTGAGTTTAATCAGTTCACCACACTCTCTCTCAATAGTTATGTGGATAGCCACATGCTTGAGAAAGATGGTGGTATCATCTTCCAATATTAAGAATAATTCATAAATATTTTAGATACTCCCGGTAGGAATTCTGAAATACAATAGAGATAGATCTCATTATATACTGCTATGTAATAATCAAAATCTTGATGCTGTCTCTCTTTTGGCTGATTATAAATTAATGTGTCGAAATTTAACGTTTAAGTAATCTCCCTTACAGTGGCCATACAAATGGGCATCGATATTCTGGATCTCAGATACAAAGAAGCCATTGTTTCACCTGAGCTTTAATAAATTACATAATTTTATATGGGAATTCAATTAACTCATTGCCTCAATATATTCTATTCATAACGCCAATTCTCCAGTATGTCTGTTTTCTCATTCCTCTCACCTAATTGTGCATCAGTCCCTACGATTGATTCTGCCTCCAAACCATCTCCCCACTCATCCTTCTTCTCCAACCCCACTGCCTGGGCCACCTCTTCACAAGTCCTGTGCGGATGAGACTAGCACTTCTTTTTTAGAATATGGAGGTTCTAATCCACCACCGAACTCAAAACTGAGACTTTAGCTAATCCTGAGATGCGTGGAGGAGTTTCATTCCACATTCTATTGCAAACTCCAGGGGTTTGACCTAGGCACAGAGTGACTGGAGTTTGCGTGAGCCTTTTCTGGCTCTGTCAGATATCATTCCAACATCGCCACAGTTTTGATTCATCTTGGGAGAATGTACAATGAAAAGGAAGGAACCCCATCAGTGGGAGATCGGAACACACAGACGTTAATTAGTGTGGGCCACAGGAGTCCATGAATAGGAGTGCAAGAGTAGCATCTCAGTCTAGGGAAAGAACCCAGAGGAAGTCCTGCGAGGGGAGTGTCGGGAAGAAAGTAGTGTCACCTGGATTGGATTTCACAGACAGAGCCAATAAGATGAGGGCTGAGAAGTTCCCTCTGGATTTAGCAGTTATCAAGTCACTGGTGAAACAAGAGTGCCGGTTCAATACGTCAAGGGTTCCTGCGTGAAATTTGAAACTGGCCCCCGTACATGGGGGACAAAGAGAGACCAAAAAGAAGAGGCAGCCACTCCAGGTTGGGAGGTAGCAGGTGTAATAAGGGAGTGGATTGACTTAGGAGGTTTGTCTTGGGGGCCACAAGACCAGTAGATGTCCACCCCTGCCCGCCAGACTCTTCAGAGTTTATAGAGAGAGCCCTTAAGCGGGTTCAGCAATGCAGACCATCCAGATGGTCTCAATAACGCACTGCTCTCTCAAGGCTGCGTCCTTGAAAATGCCTCCGAGTGTGGGAACAGTGGGCAGAAAGTACAGTCCAAGGACAGGGAGGGGGTGAGGAGCCTCCACTGCCTGGGTTCAACTCTCCAGTCACGTCCGTCCTCACGATGACCTCCTCCAACAATTAGCAAGAGTATTGTCAAAGTTGAGGAGCAGATAACTTTGAAGGACAATAGGTAATGAGAAAGTGGGGGGCAGGAAGGGAACGGAGACACCCTATTCGTAGCTCAGCAGGGAAGGGAAGTAGATTGGGACTCGGGGAACAGAAGCGGTAAAGTTTCTAAAAGTGTGAATGAAGTTTAAAAGCCAATTTAGTGGAAATAAAGCTGAAAGATGGGGACAGACAGCACCTTATGTTCAAATTTTGCTGAATTAGACCTCAAGATCTCAGAAGTTGAACAACTGGGAGTAAGGCCCAGGGTAAGACCAAAGGAGTGGATTTTTCGAAGTGCAGTGGAGGTGATGGTAATTGGTATGGAGGGGAGGGACTTTGAGGACAGGTGTTGGGAAGGTCATCCACAGGGATTCTGAAGTCTACTGCAGTGATGTTAGGAGTAGGAAGGAAAGAAAAAAAAAGTCTGAGTCAAATTTAAATGAGATAATGCATTTGAAAAAGACCTTGAAAATGTTAAAGAGCTATACAAATGTTAGTTGCAAATGCAAATATTCATAGAGAACATGAATGGAAATAGTTTATGGGTGGCCATAAAAGCCAATCAAAATAATTTATATATGAAAGAGTCAAGAAGAAGCCGTGGATCCTCGAGCAGGATAATGAATGATGAAAGGGAGGTTTCTGGAGAGCAAGCTGGTTTTTCAGGGAGTGGAAATGCCATCCACAAGACTCATATCGTTTCTGCTGATTAGTTTAATTTTCTGTTTGTTTCTTTTAGGCTTAAAATATTGGAATGGTCTTTTCATAGCAATATTCATCATATAGATGTGACCCTCAAGCCTTGTTTTCCCTCGAGCAAGAAAAAACAACACCACACCCCCCAAATATAGTCCCCTTCCCAGTCCATTGACATGAGTCCTGTTCTTAGGATAGTCTCACCAGGCTTTCGTTCACCTTGAAGGGAAGGGTTTGGTTTTTTTGGTCTTGTTTTTGGTTTTGGGGGTTTTTTTCGGTTGGATCACAAGAGAATTTTGAAGGAGTCAAGACCTTCTCTTGCAAAGTTGTGGACAAGTGTCTTGTGACAGCTGTAACAATAAAGCAGGGCATTATTGTTTGTTTTTAACTATTGTATTTAAACACAATATATAAGTTAGAATATGTGTGTGTGTGTGTGTGTGTGTGTGTGTGTGTGTGTATTTCTATAGAGCCATCCTTCCTCCTGCACAAACATGGCTTCCCCTCTTGTCCCAGACTGCTCCTGGCAGACTTTTAAGCTTAGCAGTTATGCTTTTGAAGGCCATGGAGGTGCTGGGTACCCTCTTAGTTTGAGCCCTGTGGAGGGGACACCAGGGCAGTTTGCACACCTGCACGCTCCACTGCACGAAGTCTTCCTGGCTGGTGTACGATGCACACACAGAGCGTGTACTTCTTGCTCTGCTCCCACCCGCCGCCGTTCTCGTCCACACCTGCCTCATCTCCAGCAGCGCCCTGTGGGGCTCCGTGGAGTTCATGACCTTCTGGCTCCATGTGAAGGGCAGAGACCATAATGACCTCCTGACACTTTTGATTTTATCACTGCCTCGCCTGCCTCTGCTGCCCACCACGTGATGTTTGATCTACTGCAGTCTGCTTTCAACTCGATGCTCGTTTTTTTTCTGGCCGACTTGAAACGCGAGCGTCTGCAGAGGAGTTGAAAAACCTCCCAGTGGCCCCTTGCTAGCCCCAGATATCACCTGAAGAAGGGCCTGGGTCACACCTCACACCATCAGGCAAATTCCACTGGATCTGCGGCTGCACCAGCTGCCCACAGGGGAGGGAGTGTCCTTTGGAGGATACGCCCTGGGGGGAGATGGTACTGTCTAGGGTTCCTACACGGCTGCTGGTGCCGTGGAGGACAGGCAAGCACAGGGCCACCCTGGGGGGTGCGCTAGGGAGGTTGTCTTCGTCTCTGCGCAGGAGAAAAGGCTGGAAGGCACTTTTTTTTTTTCCCCACGGTACGCGGGCCTCTCACTGCTGTGGCCTCTCCCGTTGCGGAGCACAGGCTCCGGACGAGCAGGCTCAGCGGCCATGGCTCACGGGCCCAGCCGCTCCGCGGCACGTGGGATCTTCCCGGACCGGGGCTCGAACCCGCGTCCCCTGAATCAGCAGGTGGACTCCCAACCACTGCGCCACCAGGGAAGCTCTGGAAGGCGCTTTAGATGCGCTGCTGGCCTCTGCCCTGACTTCCACTCCTCATCAGCCACTGATTTTCTGAGTTGCTTCTACTCTGACTCTTCTTCGAGCAAGAATTAAAGGTGAGAATGACACATTGGCTGAAACTCTGCTGCTTTGGGATGGCAGAAACCCTGCGCTGTACCTTGCAGGATGGGGAAGAAGTGCAGGTGTTGGTGGGACCAGCTGAAGTTGGGGGCTTCAGAGTGATGGCGTAGCCCCCCTGCTTGGATCTCATGTAGCCCAGGAGCAGACAGGTGGTCATGACTTTGTCTTACTTCTGCTCCATTAACGAGTCCTGGACCTCTTCCCGTGTCTAACCCACGGACACCATTACTCCATCTCTCAGGGATCCTTGCGGTCAGGAAGTGGCTCGGCGCAAGGCCTGACTGTCCTCAAGGCCCACGTTCATCCATGGTTGCTCATGGTTTCTGCTAAAGTGCCTCTCTTGCTGGGGGTGAGGGTAAGGCATCTCATGAGCGGGTCTCACACTCCGTGGACACGTGGGATACTGTCTGCTCTCCTCAGTACCTGCTTCTACATCTCCTTGTCGTCTGTCCATCAAAAGGCAGGGACCCGCTGACCGGCCTGTAGAGGATGGCTCCCAGGCCATACACATGCACTGCAGGGCTGTGGTAACTTTTCGCCCTGGAAGAGTTCCGGGCAGCATGTGGGGCAGTGCCACAGAAGGTGCCCAGCTTGCTGCCCTGGGGGAATTCATTGCTGGAGCCAAAACCTGCACCATCAGCCTCCAAAAATAGGTTTTCTGCTTTGGATCTCTCACTCGGTTTGAGCTCCTGTAACAACATACCACGGCCTGGGTGGCTTCAACTACAGATATTTCTTTCTCACAGTTCTGGAAGCTGTGAGGTCCAAGGTCAACGTACAGTGGATCTGGTTCCTGGAGAGACTCTCCTCCTGGCTGGCAGATGGCTGCCTCTCTCTGTGTCCTCACATGGTGGCGAGAGAAAGCTCTGGTTTCACTTCCTGTTTCTGTAATCATGGGGCCGCACCCTTATCACCTCCTCTGACCCCAGTCACCTCCCAACGGCCCCCCTCCAAATACCGCCACGTTAGGATATCCATGGGGGATCTGTTGGGGATCCAAATGCATGAACATATGGATTTGGGGGGACACAGACAATCAGGCCACAACAGTCCCTGAGGACGAGCCACCCCTGAGGACAGGACGGTACAGCAGACAAGATCTGGTGGAGGTTGCCTCAGGCCTCTCTCTCTCTCTCTTTCTTGCTGCCATGGGCCACGAGGGAATGGGACAAGTCTCCTCCACTGGTTCACTGCACGGCAAGGGCTTCAAGGCCTTCGTGCTTTGGACTTTGTGTGACCGTCCCCGGAGCTTGGTGCAGCTCTGCAGAACCAGGTTACTGATCTGCACGGCCACCGCGTTCCCAGGCAGGATGTGCACCCACCATCGCCAACAGGCTTGAGGAGATGGTGGCTGCCTTTCTGGGTCGAACCCGAGGTGGCCGAGAAGCCCCGCAGTGCGTGGGGCTTACTGCTCCATTTTCTAAAAGGTCAGTTTAAAAGGGTGAAAATCTGACCCCTCAAAGTAAGGCCGGACCCAAAGTCCACATGATGGCTGATTTTGTGTGTCAACTCGACTGGCCCAGGGGACCCAGATTACACATTATTTCTGGGTGTGTCTGTGAGAGCAGTTCTGGAGAAGGTGAGCATTTGAACCAGCGGACTCAGCAAAGCAGCTCCGCTGCCCCAGTGTGGGTGGGCAGCCTCCCCTCCACTGAGGGTCTGCGAAGGCAACAGAAAGGGGAGGGTGGAGGAATGTTTTCTGCCTTCTTCCTGTCTCGTTGTTGAGCTGGGACAGCTCATCACGTCTTCTTCTGTCCTGAGACTGGGATTTATACCATCAGCTCCTCTAGTTCACAGGACTTTGCTCAGACTGGACTGAATCCCACCACTGGCTTTCCTGGGGCTCTCGCTCACAGATGGCAGATGGTGGGATGGGACTTCTCAGTCTCCGTAATCCTGTGAGCTAGTTCCTTATTATACATATATGCATATAATCTATAATAAATCCATACTATAATATAAAATTATAAATAACAATTACATTATTATATAATAGCAATACATCATTATATAACCTATAATAAAATATATATGATACATAGCATATATAATATGTATACATTATATATATAAAATACATATATACATATTATATATATGTATATATAAAATACATATATATCCTATTGGTTTTATTCTCTGTTGAGCCCTGACTAATACAGTTCACCCAATTAACTGGTCATTATAAAGGGATCAATCCACAATAACAGACAAAAATAATAGTAAACAAAAAAAACCCCTACAAACTAAATTAAAAAGTAAAAGTAAGAAAATATGAATAAAGGAAAAAGAAAACTGAGAAAAAGAAAAACGAACAATGTGAGAAAAGTAAAAGAATAAAAAGAAAACTGAAAAAAGGCACGAAGAATTTTAAAACGAGAAAAATTAAAAGAGTAAAAGAATTAAGAAAAAGAAAATAAAAAGGAAAAGATAAAAAAAGAATAAATACAAAAATGCAAAAAAATATAAAATGAGAAAAGAAAAAATTTTAAAAAAGAAAAAAGAGTAAGGCATTAAAAATAGTGAGAAGATGGGCTTCCCTGGTGGTGCAGTGGTTGAGAGTCCGCCTGCCGATGCAGGGGACACGGGTTCATGCCCTGGTCTGGGAGGATCCCACATGCCACCAAGCGGCTAGGTCCGTGGGCCATGGCCGCTGGGCCTGCGCGTCCGTAGCCTGTGCTCCGCAACGGGAGGGGCCGCGGCGGTGAGAGGCCTGCGTATCGCAAAAAAAAAAAAAGAAGAAAAAACCGGGGTGAGCGGATAACAAGCAAAATAGACGAGGAAGTCAAAGAGCAAAATAGCTAACTTTGGTCAGATCCCCCAGGTCACCAGAAACCCCGGATGGTGATGTGATTCCTCTCTTCTGTTTGTTCTCGTTACTACTTCCGTTCTCAGCTCTTTAATGTTTGGTCTGTATCCATACTTATTTTGTAAACACACCAGATTCGTATTTAGAGCCCATAGACTTAAGGGTGTGGAGAGTATCAGGCCGCAGCGCCCTTTATATTCTATGGCCTTGGTTTGTATTCCCACTTTTAAAGAATGTGGCATGTTTCTTGCACTGTCCTCTATGCAAGTGACGTTTATAATCATGTTAGCATCTCTCTTGAGTTAGGCTCATTGGTGTATCTTTTAAAAAACCTTTGTTGGAAACGCCTCATAGAGTAACTGCGTGGTTTCCTTTACTCATAGAATTACCTGTTAGATCTGTGGGAGAGAACTACACGACAGAGCGGCCAAGTAAACTATGAAAAACCTAACAGTCAAACTTCTTTTATCTTAGGTATTGGCATATCCCGATCATCTCTACTGTTCTAGGGTGTGATGGCTTAGGAGTGAATATGATTTGAACCTAATACATTTTTAGAGGCTGTCAAATTCAGAACCAGGCAGATCCATCCCCTGACCCTAAATATGGTCCTAAAGTAAATCACTTGAGGAAATTGGATCCCAAAGATTCCAGGTGGGGCATTCTGAAGTGTGTCCATATTCCACTGGAGATCGAAGAAGCCCAACTAAAAGAATTGTGGGTTGATTCACATGACAAGTTCTTTCAGAGAGCGCTATTTTATCTTGAAGATTATGAGTTTGGAGGAACTAAGGTGATTGGTCTTGGAAAGAATCAGAACATGAAATTCCTTAAAAATTGACTTAAATAATTTTGTCTATGTTACACATAATTTTTTAAAAAAAAACCTTTACACTTTGTGTGGAAAGTCAGCATATATTTTTGGCTCAAAGTTTCTCTAGTGTTTTCTGTGGAGTTCCCTCAATTTATCAGTTATAGTTCTGATGTGCCTTAGACATGAAAAATTGTGAGGCTGGCTGTTCACCTTATGAAATTCTTTTGCCCTTGCTCTGTTTTGGGCATCTGCATCTTGCTTTGCTTTCTCTTCCTTTTGCTTTTTCACTTCAGCTAACTGATGGTATAATCTGTAAGAAATTTATATGGAATTAAAGACAAACACTTCAGATATGTGAAAAAAAAAACAAACTATGCTAGGTGACCCTTCAGTATACATTTTCGTCCTTATTTTATTTCATGTATTGTTCACATGTTTAACCCACAAGAGATATTTTCTAACTGCACTTGCCCCATCACCACCCTATTTTTAGGGAAAAAAGGGAGTTTTCTAGTTAATATCCTCTCACCATTAAATGCTTATAGTTTGAGCAAGCACCCACTGCTGCCACTAAATGCTCCTCAGAAGCTTTATAATAAAACCTCAGAATTACAAGAGCTCTCAGAATTCACTTAGTTTGGAGCAGAGCTTCTAAAACCATCACATGCATAAATAACATTGGGTCGACTTGAAGTATATATTCTAGTTGGGTAGGCTTAGGATGTTAGAAGGAATCTGATGCAATGGTTTGGAGTCTAGAGTCTGAGTTTTGTAATCACCAACTGCTACAAACCACCTGCGTTCATATCCTGTCTCTGCCACTGACTAAACAGGTAAAGGTGGGCAAGTGGCTTAACTTCTCTCCTCCACTTCTGCCCCTGGAAAACAGCATAATTATAGCACCAACTTCTAGGTTATTTTGAAGATTAAATGAACTTATATAATAAATAATTTATATTATATATAATAAATAATACATTTATAATTTTAATATATATTTATTATACTATATATAATTAATATATATGGCTTGAAGTATAAATATATAATACATAAACCTATATTTAAATACATTATGTACATAAATAATAAATAGATACGTTTTGAAATCACCTGGCCTATTGTAAAGGCTCAATGAATTTTAGTTTTATTGCTACTATTAGTTTTTTGTTTTGTTTTAATTTATTTATTTTATTTATTTTTATTTTTGGCTGTGTTGTGTCTTCACTGCTGTGGGCAGGCTTTCTCTAGTTGCGGTGAGCGGGGGCTACACTTCATTGCTATGCACAGGCTTCTCATTGCGGTGGCTTCTCTTGCTGTGGAGCATAGGCTCTGGGCGCGTGGCCTTCAGTAGTTGTGGCATGCGGGCTCAGTAGTTGTGGCTCGTGGGCTCTAGAGTGCAGACTCTAGAGTGCAGTCTCAGTAGTTGTGGTGCACAGGCTTAGTTGCTCCAAGACATGTGAGATCTTCCCAGACCAGGGCTCAAACCCATGTTCCCTGCATTGGCAGGCAGATTCTTAACCACTGTGCCACCAGGGAAGCCCCTACTATTAGTTTTATTAACGCTATTATTATAATTAGCATCTTCCATAATTTATGTCCAAAGAACCTTTACTTCTGTTTGTCATTTACTTCTCCTTCACCTGTGGAAATACCTATTTTTTGAGACAGAACTTTCGCGTCTTTTGCCCTCTTATAACCACCATCTCCAAATCAATTGTTCTTCCACATCCTTTTAAATGGATCCCATTTTCCCTGGAGTGACTAGCTTACTTACCTTATCCTTCAATCAGAGCATCACTCCTCTCTGGGTAGAGTGCCTTATTCTCTTTTCATTACCTACGTTCCTCCCTGTAGTTTTTACACTAAGTGGATGGCCAATAGATATCATCTATAGGATAAATAGAAAAGTGAATTGAAGCTTTGGTTGTCAATCTAGGCCCTTGCAACTGAAAGAGTAGCGTTCATATCACCTGCTGGTTTGTTAGAAATGTAAATTTCAGGTCCTACTTCAGATTTACTTTATGAGGAAAAGAGTTTACCTTGTTCCAGAAGCTGACGTGGGCCAGTATGGCTGGTGAGGAGTGATGGAGAGGGGATGTAGGGTTAGAGAGACAGCAAGGAGTCCTACCACATTAGACATTATAAGCCATTGTAGAGAGTCTGCAAATCAGGTTCACTACAATGGGAAAATGTTAATGTATATTAAGTAGTAGAGTGACTTGAGCTGATTCCTACTTTTAAAGGATTATTTTGTTTGCATTGTGAAAAGGGGAATGGAAGAGAAAGGAACAGAAAAACCAGGCCAGTTGAGAGATGATGTTGATTGGAATTGAAGCAATGGGAGAGATGGAGAAAACTGGACAGACAATTTGGACATAAAACAACATGATGGGATGTTTGATTGATGTGAATTGAAGAAGGGAAAGGGGTCAAGAATGCCTCCTGGGTTTCCCGTTCAGGCTCCATTTATTAAAATGAAGGAGTTGTAGGGAGGAAATAGAGGTCCTGGACAGACCTCATTTGTACATGTTAAGTGTTGAGACGCCTACGAAGCATCCCAGTAGAAATGTCAAGTTGCCAGTTGGACAACTGAGGACTGAACTGAGCTGCAGATGTACTTTATGTCTTCACAGCACAGAGATGTTATTAAAAGCCACAGAAATAGAAGGACTTACTTAGGGGGGAGGGTAAAAGAGAGATTCCAGGAAGGAACCTGAGGATTATCCTTGGATGTACTGCAGAAGAGTAGGAATCAGTGAAGTAGAGAAGTGGCTGATGTGATTGGAAACAGTGAGAGAAGGGGCGGGAAGAGATTGTTCCAAAGAAGGGGTGATACAGGGACAAGTCAGGGAAGGCTCGAAGAAGTACTCTTTAAATCTGGCAAACTGAAGATTCCTAGTCACCTTGATAAGGGTAATATCTGAAGAGTGGTGGGAATGGAAGCAAACAGATTGCGCTGAAGAGTGAAAGAAAAGGGAAAGTGAAAACGTTGCATCTTGTTAGAAAATTTGCTCTGAGAGGAAGAAGAGAAACAGGGCAAGGATGTTGGGAATAGAAAGGCATGATGAGAGGAAGGTGGATTCCAGAACATGCTTATATGCTTATGTGACTAAATCGGGGGGGCAGGAGAAATCGCAGCTGCGAGAGGGAAGGTAAACAGGGGCAGGATGCCCGCCCATAGAGGGGAGGAGGGGGCGGACAGCTACAGACAAGGATGTTGCAGTGGGCTTTGTCAGAGGAACAGTTTCCCCCTCGTAGCATTTTTTTGTTTTTTTTTTTTGCGGTACGCGGGCCTCTCACTCTTGTGGCCTCTCCCGTTGCGGAGCACAAGCTCCGGACGCGCAGGCTCAGCGGCCATGGCTCACGGGCCCAGCCGCTCCGCGGCATGTGGGATCTTCCCAGACCGGGGCACGAACCCGTGTCCCCTGCATCGGCAGGCGGACTCTCAACCACTGCGCCAAGAGGGAAGCCCCTCGTAGCATTTTTTGCTCCATTTGGTTGTTGTTTTTCAGCTAAGTATTAAATGAGTTCCTCTTTTACGAATTATAAAAGGAAGGGTTGTGTAAGGCATGAAGAAAGGAGAAGAGTATGAGACGTCACCTAAGAGAGTGATAACAGCAAACCTCTGAGTGCTGAGTGGTCATTTGAGTTTACTCAATTGACGTTAATCATTACAGGGAAATTAGAATGTGATGTATCAAGACCCTGAGACTCAAATGATTATTATTAATTTTAATGTGTCCTTCAAAGCATCGATCGTTGACAGAGAAGCGGTTAGGAGTCTCCTAATTCCATCCAATGCTCTTTTCTCTCACCTCACATTTCAGTGGATCAGGGAAAATACTTTATGCTTCATTACAGATGTCTTTATCTCCCCGCCCCCCTCCATCTATTGGGAGATGTCAGGCTTAGCTCACTCTCTTGAAGACATTTGGGCGATGGTCACTCTCGTGTTAAATCCTCAGCTATCTTACCCTCCTCCCAGCTACTGCCTAACCAGTGCAGGAGCTCAGGGGGGCACAGCCAGGGAAGAAGCTATCCATGCTTAGCCTGCGGACAAGCAGAACTAAATAACACCTACGAGAGGTGCGATGGCTCTGATCAGCGCGTCTCCTCCAGGCAGACCTGCAGGCTGTGAACACACCTCCCTAGCAGGTTCTACGAAGTCTCCACAGCGTCCTCCAGACACTCCAGGCTGCCCACAGTGTACTCCTATCAACAGCTCTCTATTCTCAAACCAGGGGGGCCCAACTCCACCACACCTTGAAAGGGGTCATAGGTCAGAAGACTGAACCGAGTGACACCCTGACGTCTGGTGGCTCTGGCCAGTGACCCTACTCAACACACATAGCTGACTGTCCCTGGGCTTGCCTTTCACTGTCGTCGGAGGCCCTTCCTCTACAGATCACAAATAAGGGGCATCTTTTGTGATGGGTGCCTATGAGCTTAGAACTTCACGTGGATGTTGCTTCGGGAATATCTCCACCCTTTCCTTTCTCTCTACAGAACAATTCATTCTTGTAACGTTGTCTTAACACATTTCAATACCAATTACACTTCTCCTCCTCCCTGGGTAGGCACTTTGTGCCTCTCAGATGTAAAATCCCTCAGAAGGTGTCTCTGTTTTCTTCATGTGACATGGAAGATGGCACTAACCTTCTGTGATTACCTTTTCCCAGCATAGAAGCCCTACAGCAAAGGACCTTTCTCACTCCGGACACTGTACCACAGTCTTCGGAGGAGTCTGATTGGCTCTGCTGGAGGTCTTGTGACCACCTGTGGGCTGCTCGCTTTTGTCAAGAGGTTGACACACTACCAT